AAATCGCACCTAAGACGGGATAGAAGTAGCATGGAATAGTTTAACTGTACAGAAGAAAAACTCTATTATTATACAGGGTGAACACAAGATTTGACTTGATCACTCACTGTTACAGTTTAGCACCTGTCAATAGAAAAATTTGGTAGCCTTTTTAAGAAAGATTTAATCTTAACATAAAAACTCAATGATGCATAAATTTAGAAAGCGGTCGATAAAGTCAATAAATCAACTGTAAAGTCTAAAGATTGAAAATGAACGTTAAGAGAACTTGAAAACTTCATACTCTAGAAAAGCATTCCTTTCTTCCAAGTAGTTCGCTTGATCTAATATAGATTTCAGCTGCTCATCAGAGAGTCTAAATAAAAAAAGCGATGCACTGTTTGAAAATGGTCACTGCTTTCAAAGGTCTTACTTTCCCGATGAAGCTGTTCCTTCTTCGGCAATGGGTTCAAAATTTACATTTACCAGGGAACTAATGTCTACAGCAACCGGCTAAAACATGTTCACTGAACTCGAATGAATGACGCACGCCCGTTGGTCGACTACCTGTTCTTTCAGTTCGTCCTCCTTCACAAACAAGTTGCACTCGATTACTCGCAGGCCAACCAAGTTTCCGGTCAAAATCGCTGCCGCTGACTCCTGACGAACCAAAGCCCAACCTTCGAAGCACTCGCTTAATACGCATTAACAGTTTTCGAACACTCTTTCGGCCGTTCTAAGCTTCTACTTACCGTAGTATATCCTTGGCCTCGACCAAACATGCTACGTAGTCGGCTAGCTTCTTCTGCATAAGTGAGAGTCGTAGCCATGCCCGAAAACGGCAAGTTTGAGACCTGAAAATTACTTACATGAATTGACAACTTGAGAAAGAGTGAAGCTACTGAAGATATTATAGCATCCCTAGAATCAGTGGGCCAAAGTAGAGACGCCAAAGGGCAATATTGCTAGAAAATGCTGGTGGAAATGGCGTGAATATTAACGAATCGTCTTGAAGTTAATGTTGAATAAATAGAAAAAATTGTGCCGAGTGAAAATGAATGAATATTACGCGGAGAAATCAACAAGTTTATCAAAATTCATAATCAGCCATTTTGGATCGACTTATGCACGAAGGCATCTGCAAGGTTTTTGCAAAAAAAATTCTGCGAATTCTATTTTTGTGACTTTCATCTGCAATGCTTCAACAAATTTGTTCAGCATGTTTTGTCTTCGATATAAATGTTTTAGCCCAGGCCGTTTACTGCCTCTTGGAACTTAACCTAATATATATTTGGTCAACCATATACAATATGGGTTATACTTCTGCTGATTAAAACTTTGAAGAAGTAGATACCAGGTGGATCAAGGCGAATTGCGTCCGTAAGAGATGCTGGTGTCAGAAAACATGAAGGTACCTCCAGCAAGTTCCGGCATGATTACACCAGGGCACCACACCGTCCCTGTTGTTCGCAAATCAATGACCTGTTATTCGTCTCGACTAGTTGCACCAAAGCAACGTAGGAGAAATTCCTTGTTTAAGGGAATTCACGGCTATGACAAAGATTGGTCGGTCTCCGGAATCGAAACCAGCAATTCTTTACCACCGTGTGGCATCGCTTCTCCACATATTCACATAGAAGATTTATCACATACACACAGTCGTTGCATATCATGACATGAATGCTGCACGCTATCCAACAATGTGCAAGAAACGACAGCTAAATGTTTCTCTGTATATCATCATCATCAACAGTCGTTATCGATCCACTTTTGGATGAAGGCCCCTCCAAGACTTTGTTGTAAAGTTGCGCTATCTGCCATTCTCATCTATGTTGATGCAGCGAACATCTGCAGATCATCCTCCATCGAC